CCGCGGCTTGACGTCACGGGCAACAACAAAAGAGTTGAAATGACAGCACCCTTCTTTCCTGTCAGGTTCTATTTCAGCCATTGGGTTGAGTGCTGACAGTGCGTGGCAAGGGAAAAAAATTCCTTGGAAGAATTTTCATTTTGTACAATTTGTTGCTGTTCGGGTTTTATTTGTTATTTCTATTAGCTTTGAGCGGGGAGAAACTAATTTCCTTGTCAGAATCGCACTACGTAGGAGGCAAAAGGAAGAAAATCGTCTGCCTCTCGAATGCATAAGAGATAGTAAATTGATGCTCCTTGCCCTGATGCTTTTTTCATTAAGGCACGGACCTATTACGAATTGCTTTACTGTGTTACAGTTTATGAAACATTCAACATGTGTATTTATTGATATGATAGATTAACGTTTTTAAGTTTGTGATTTAACAACCTGCTTTCGCAGTTTTTACGTGTGCCAACAATCGTCAGATGGACTCGATTTCCCTTTGTTAACTTAATTTGAAACTCTTTTATAGTTAGAATTCTCACCATTTTCTGATTATGAAATCTATAAAGACATTAGGTTATTTCGAAGCAGGAGAGATGAACAATGAGCAATGCCCTCGCCGGGACTCGAACCCGCAGACCTCTCGAATACGCGCCGAGTGTGCTGACCACTACACCACGAAGGCCATTTTAAGATGGCGAAAGAAATACTTTATATACTCCTCCGTTTAAAAGGCGACTGGGAATTAGGAAATCCAATTGCCGAATCCTGGTGGTAGAGAATAATCATCCACCACATTTTTTAGTTCGGGCGCCACTGTAGAGACATTAGGTATTTTTTGAAAACAGAAGATGTGAAAAATAAGCAATGCCCTCGCCGACACTCAAACCACAAACCTCTCGAATACGCACCGAGCGTGCTGACCAGCACCACGAAGGCATGCTAAGAAGGCGGGAGAAATACCTTATATATTCCCCCTTTAAAGGGCGACTGGGAATTAGGGGACCCAATTGATGCAGAATCATCACCCACCACCTTTTTTTTTAGTTCGGGCGCCACTGTAGAGACATTAGGTATTTTTTGAAAGCAGAAGATGTGAAAAATGAGCAATGCCCTCGCCGGGACTTGAACCACGGACTTCTCGAATACGCGCCGAGTGAATTGACCACTACACCACGAAGGCATTCTAAGAAGGCGGGAGAAATACTTTATAAATTGGGACAGGAAGAAAATTTAAATATTACTTATTTCGCTCCTAGATATCCAATTTCAGTTTAGGCTCAGTATGGAATGAAATGCAGGATTATGAAACATTTAAAAAAATGCATTGCAAACAAACTACATATCTCATACCGAACTTTATGACACTGAAATAAACTCATTCGGGATTTCTCACATATTTTATTCCGAAAATGTACCAGCGTACAGCTTATGCTTTCTAAATATCTCTGGAAGAAGATAACTGGACGTACAGGAATTCTGGCTGATACCACCGTAAACGGAAACGGTGATAATTACTTTTTTTTCAAGGCAGAATTCTCCTTCGTCACCGCGAAAGTCATTATCGACATCATTTGTGTGATTACAGAGGTTGTTCACACATTTTTTAGACGATGTATATTGTATTCACAAAACTAAATTACATAAAATTCTTGTGTTTTAAATGTTCTATTTGACATCCCTTATTCTGAACTATCTTTTGACACCTCAATTTCCAGGATAATAATGCCTTTTGAAGTGGCAGAAGAGATATTCTATCCCATTCCTCCCGAACAGCTTTCCAGAGTCCTGTTAGGGTTTTGGGACAACGTTTGGATAATGCAGTTTTTAAAAGTCCGAAAGTAAAAATCCATAGGTGACACATCGGGAGATTTAGTAGGGATATCCGTGAAGGGTATGGGCCTTGATACCAGTTTTTGGTTCCATTTGTTTTAGGAAATTTACAGTGGATTTTGATGTGTGACTGCTAGCTTTGTCCTGATGGAGTCTCACAGACGGATGGCACTGTGGGTAAAGCGATGCTATTTCATTCAGAAAAATTGGCGATAAAATATGTTCCTGATAGTATTTGAAGTTAATCTTGATATTGTTTTACTCTCTCTTTATTTTTAACTTGCCGTTATAAAAAAAACCAGCAACAATCATGAATCCCTTAGAAAAACTTTCTTTCGATTCTTTGAACCATGTACTTAAATTTTTGTCTCCCCTTTTATGATAATAAATGGCTCTTTTTTTTTGTTACAATCATTTAAATACACCCGGGCTTCATTTATTCTGATAATAGTTTTCCATTTTTCTTTGGATAAGTCGTGTCCTGCGTTGAACGATATGCTTTGGAAGAAGACGATGCACATTGCGTTTTTTCGCTTTATTAAGATTTAAATCCACGTTTATCATTTTGTTTACAGTGGACACAGAGCATTTTAATGATTTTGCTACTGTCCTTTGACTAAATGGATTTTCTTTTAACATGAAACAACGTACCTTTGCAATAGTCGAAGATGTCCGTTTTTTCCTTGGATACTTGTTTGGAATTTTTGTCCCACTTGAGGTTCCAATTTGACATTTGTTTCCTTTCTTGTTGATGATATTACCTATCGACGCTTTAGATATCACAAAACCATGACTCTCACATCGTTTTTGGATAACGGAGTATGCATATGTCTCTTCGGAAAGAGCGTAAATGTAGCCTTCGAAACACTGCTTCGTTAAATTCGCCATTTTGAATAAAAACAAAACTTTCAAGCCACAGACGATAATTTTGACTTTTAAAAACACAGTACAATTGCAATTAGTTCTTTTGCAGAAAACGATTTGAAAATCGTCTAAAAAATGTGCGAACAGCCTCTGTATTACGATCAATATTTAATACTAAGGTATACAGAACGCGCAGAACGAAGAGATTCATTGTTAATGTGATGAAAATTTAAATCTTCGGGTTGAATTCGAAGTGACGTTTTCATTGGAGGATTCAAACATACTGTCCTTTCGGCCCTGGCGCTTGTATTACTGACTACTCGAGATCTTCTTAGTTATATCAACGAAGTAATTTTTATTTATAACTCTGATCGATGAATACACGTTGGGTGTGCTTCCTGTTACACCACGAAGGCATGCGGAAAGAAGGAAGAAAATACTTCAGTTAAAATTTCAATTCATCCAATGAAAACCAAAGCGACAGAAATGAGTCGGCTAAAATTTGAAACTAAGAAATATCATTTGATATTTACTTTAAAAAGATGTTGTTAGTCTCGAAACGGCATTTTACTTTGAATCTCTAATAAACGACATGTCACTTTTCCTGAGTATTATAGGGCTGTATTAAAGAATTTAAATAATGAACAATCTGCATGAAAGTATGCATGTTTCTCGCATTGTGAAAAAAAACTACGCTACCTAGAGCCATCCAATTTTGAATAACGCAACCCTCCACCCGATCATGAGAACCTTGAAGCCAGAATTTCGAATTTTATATTTTATAAAAATTCAGTAAATTTTTGATTTACAACCTCAACAATTTGAAAGTGAGCAGTGGCAACACTGTAGGGAAAAGTTTTCTCCAGCGCGCAAGATTATCTATCGGGAATTCTAAAGATGTGCTGTTTTTAAATATTTTACGTTGAAAGGAATTTTATGCGGCATAAGCGCCAAGAACGTGATATTTAATAAATAAACACACAAAACGTTAATAATAAAAAGACAAAAAATTGTTTTTTCAAGTCATCTTAGTAAGAAAACTTAACATTGATATTGTAGCGTTCTTTCTTACTTCTGACATCAGTTGTTGCTTTTTTCTCTTCCTTCAAGTTCGTACGCAGTTCGTGTGGATTTGGAGTGAATAACGACGGCACTACTTGATAAAGTATCGAAACACACTTTATTACCAATATTCTCAGGACAGCTCCAAAATCACTTTTACTGTCGTCGAACTGTTATAAACACGCTAACACGTTCAGCGACACAGCCTTCACACGATCAGGCAATAACGGTGGAGACAGCTTCACTGCAAAGCACCCGAGTACAGCTCCCAGCTCTGCTTGGTCGTTCTCGGAACTCCACGTACTCTCGAGACTCTCCACGCGATGCACTCGACGATACACAAGAGTACAGCTCTCGACTCAGCACAGTCTAAGGCAAAACTCGACGATGCACTAAAAGACTCTCGATGCACTCGACGACCAACTCGGCGCTAGACTTCGAGACACTGGCTCAATGATTTGACTATCAGCTCGGTAGACGAGGCACACACACTAACTGGCTGCGAGTCAGCAGGGTTTATATAGATTTCGGCTTGTGTTCGAGAACATTCTGGGGTAAACCGGTAAGAATTCGTGCCGGAAGGTTCTCCATCCGTCCATGGTATATCGCCGATTTTGTCGCTAAATGGGCGATTTATCGCCAAATGCGGCAACCCTGCCTTTCCCTGCCATTTTATGGCAACCCTAAAACTGCTTTTCGAGAAAGCCATCTTACCGCGCCTGTACTTTTCGTAACACTATGATGAATTGAGAAAAGACTGAAAAAACAGAAAAATGTATGTCAACACTGCTACTGCATCGGGAATTCTAAACGTGTGCTACTATGCTGCTTTTAAGGTGTTTGTAATTCCGCTGTAGAATCATATGTAACGTAAATGCGAAGAAAATTAGGCTTCATTATAAAGCTAAAAAGATACCCCCCCCCAAAAAAAAAGAAGAAAAGAAAGGTTAGTAGGAGTGAGTAACAGCTGACTGGCGAGATCAGCGACAGCATAAAAAAACTTTACTAAATACCTTTAGGCCTTTCAGATTTAATTTTTTCTTCCTGTTACAGAACCCCTAAATATGACGTAAAATCTTCTAAAGCAGAGTGTCTCAGTCTTTTTCGGAATTAAAGGGAACGGCGGGGGGTTCTAACCAGAAACTGTAATGAATATTAATGATTTATATGTAAGAGTTTATTTATTAAACTGTCCTGTAAAACTCTAAACTGTTATTCATTGCTGTATGAAAACTGTGTAACTATACGTTATCACAATGTTTTCTGTTACTCTTTTGCTGATAACACAGACAATCCTGAACTCCATGCACAAGTACCAGCCAAGGTTTCATCTGGTGAGGGCGAACGACATTCTGAAACTTCCATATTCTACGTTCAGGACGTACGTCTTCAAGGAGACAGAATTCATAGCAGTCACAGCGTACCAAAACGAAAAGGTCAGTTTTTTTTCACAATATTACTGTATGATTTTTTTCCTATTTTAAAGAGTTGTTGAAATATTGATTATTCGTTTGTTGTCGAATATCCACTGAAATTAGTTTCGAAGAAAATTAATTGAGATTTCTTCTTTTCTATCGGTTCTCAACCTTTGAATAATGCCAACCATCTAAGCAAAAACTGAAAAACTTTAGTACCACCACTACATTCTACAATAATTATTTTTCAATTTCTCAATAGAAATATTAAATATATGTAATAATAAAATTCCATAGTCAAAAATACACTTAAAATTCTAATTGTATGTTCTTTTCATTTTGTAATGGCGATGGTCTTTTATTTGAAAGTACGTGGAATTAAATCCACAGCCCCGTGCCAAGTTGTTTTTCCCGCCTTTTCTACACGTACATTTTTAGAATGTTCTGGAGATATTTAAAGCGAACTGGATTGGCTGACGAGGCTGACGTCATTTCTTTGAAACTTCGCCTTTCCAGAGGCTATAAAAGGGCTCGCAAAAAAATATCCGGGGCTTTTTCTTAAATGTAACGGTGCAGTAAACTTCATACAAAACGTTATTAGTAGTTGTTCTTTTTTATTTACTACGGAGATCTGATTTTTTGTAACTGCTATTTCTCCTGAATAATAATAAATGGAGCCTGTTTTTTTAAACTTATCGTCTGATACTTTGAGCTACAACTACGTCTATGATTCTTCACCAATCTACATATATATATATATATATATATATGTAATGAAACTGTATGACACGATAATCTTACTTCACGACCTTGCGCGCACAATTTAAGACATTCTGTCGCATAATTTAATTTCATATTTAATATATAGCTTTAATAACATTTGGAAACTACTGTGAACCCAAAATTCTAAGAATTTCTCGTTAAATTTTTATTTTATTTAGAGTTAAGCTTATAAAATGTATTTTATATTAAACAAATCTGTAATGTTTTCGTGCATACAATTTTTTAATATTAAAATATTTATCAGATTTTTGGTTCAGTTAGAAAATAGCGTCCATATAAAGAATTCTGACCAATTTCAAGTATCTACCATTAGCCATTTTTAAAATATCATGCGCGCAAAGTGGAAACATGACAAAAATTTTTGTCACAAAGGAGATTAAATTACAAAAATATTTGTGGCAACACAAACTTTCTGGTTACTAGTTCCTAAATATGTAGTCAGCTGTAAAAAGTTGGGAGTAATTGCTTTTAAAATGAATTAATTTCAGCCTTTTTCCGGTTGTGCCCATGACTATCAAAAGGAGATGTGAACTCAACGATTGAAGAAATTTCCAGCAATCTGAGGAAATATGAAAAATTTGCTATGAAAACGGTCCATTTCATGTGTTTATTTATATCAGGCCAAGCGATTGTACAGATAAGCAGCTGCAGTTCTGGGCGTGTTTAAATTACTAGTATATTTCGCTTATGTTACGGGCTATTATCACTTTGCTTGCATTTCGAAACTTAAGAAATTTACAACGGTGCTACCCTTTCATCGTCCCGAATCAAAAGTGGATAGATGAAATTCCGAATAGGACTATAATTGATTTAATTTTTTTTTCATGCAAGCTTGTCGTTTGGGTGAAAGCTGCTTTCGCTGCAAAAGAGAGAACTGTTAAAAGGCATCAATCGCTTTATTAGCATCAAAAATTAAAATTAATTTTTTATGGCCTATTTTCATTGAAATCCTATCCATTCATTCCTTAATTCTTGAGAAAAATAAATAATTTAATTTAGACTTCTGAAATTATATATTGTTATTGAAGAATTCTATTCTGTTTATTTTGTGGTGTTGTGGTGATGCATGAATTTGGTAACGCCTAAGCTATTTTAATCAAGGTTCGTAATGGTATCCATATATACGCCATTACCTATCATAGTAAATTACAGTTCTTTTTCTTTTATTGTAAGAAGAACATTAATGAAAATTGATTGGTTTACCTATTATATGTAAAAGAGTATTTCCTCTACTTTAATGGTCGAGTAGTATTTCCTGGAACACTTCCTTGTCGCTCTAGACCACTAAACGACTGTATTTTTGAATTGATGGTTTTATTGAAATTTCTATATGTTATCTGTAAATTATGTTTCCACGAATGCCGTCTCAGACTTTTAATTTTATAACGTCAGAAAAGTTGCATCATCAGAGCCATGATTTTTTTTTGGCTTTTATATGGCCTTTCGATTTGAAATGCAGCGAAACCTCTTCGGTCGATTCACTTGCATAGACAAATGTCTTTGAAAATGTCTTCAGTATTTATTTTTCTTCAGTATTACCTGCAAAAAGGTGATAAAAATCTAATAGCTTTATTTGAAGTTCCTTTAAATTCTTTTTTTGCGGTTTAGCAAAAGTTAACAAGTGCTCATTTTTAATAGAGTTCGATCACAGGAATTTTCTATCAAGTTTTCTTTTTTTCCATGAGATTTTTGAATTTAGCAATTAAAAATGCTTTGTTCCCTTGCATACCACCTATTTTGCTCTTGCGTACCACCGGTTGGGAATCGCTGGTTTACACCGATGGATTGCCCCGGACGCATATAAACATTCTGTACCGCACCACGCGCATAGGGGAAATTCGTACTCGTGATTGGACATACGAGGGCATTTTGAAAAGTGACAATACAATGGCTCGCATTCCTTAAAAAAACATTTATTTAGAAAACGTCAGTTACATCTTATTAACTGGATTATTTATTATTTTTCGACGTAATCACCCCCGTTATCCAAACATTTGTTAAGTCAGTGCACAAGCTTTTGTATTCCGCAGTCATAGAAGGTTGCCGCCTGTTAAATCCCAGCGCACACACAATTTCCTGTACCCTAACTTGATAGTCACAACTTCATAAAGAGTTGTCATTGACACTTCCGGTATTATCTGATGCAATTCTTTCAATCTGAGATGTCTATTCGCACGAATTGCTTCCTGTGTTCTCTGAAGAAGGGCATCAGAGATCACAGATGGCCAACCTGTTCGTCATGAACATCGGTCCTACCTTCAGAGAAATGACGACACCATTTCGTTACATTTTGTCGATTCATAATGTTCCCATAAACAGAAACAATTTCTTTGTGATTATCCGTTGGTCGCTGACCTTTTGCATGAAGAAAACATATGACGGAGCGCACTTCGCATTTGGCGGGACTCTGAATCGGCGCAGCCATTTTAAACACGACCTACTCCCACCAGAATCAACGTTGAAATGCCGAACGACCGCGAGGAAAAAGCTAACGGTTCAAGGGTTAACACCTGTGCTGCCAACTTGCTCACCAAAACTTTTCTTTTCGTCTGGCGTACGGTGTATCTGTACTTTTCGAAATTCCCTCGTATTTTGAGACGACATCATTTCTCTTGGCATAATGACATTTAGGCAGGATTCTTACAGTTTTGTTTCCGTTGAATGACGCGCATGAGTGAAATGGAAGCGTGAATATTATCATTTGTTTTCTTTGAAAAGGAAAAATTTAGATGCAGAGTTCTGCAGATGGCGTACTGTTTCATGGAATAATAAAATTATAAAATCTTTCAAAGATACTTCAAATATCAGAAGCAATCTTAAACGCTTAGATTATATAAATAGGCGACTTCATAAATTTAGTGCAAAAACCAAAACACGACGATCTCCATCCAACTGTAAAGGCATTGTGTTCTAGTAAGTATATTATTATTATTGTAATTTTGTTGCATTCTGTTTCTCTAAAATTGCAGAAAATATTTCCCTTGTAAATGTGATGTTATTTCCATGTTAATGTCCTTGTCATTCTAATATTCTGTTGTCTTAAATGAAAGAAAAGTGCATTCAGTATCGTCACTGAATTTAATTCACGTGTATAAGAAGAAAAGAAACTTCCTTCTTTGACAAACACTATTTTATGCAAAGGTACAAACGATGTTGCACATTAAAAATGGGCAATATTCATAAGGTAATATTATTCAATTTAAAATACGGAATTCTATTTTTCTATGGCAAATCTATATTTGTCTAATTTTAAAAATAATTTTCACTTTTCAGACTGATTATAAATATTGGAATTTACTGTTACTATGTTAGCTCCCAACGTCTTTTTTGCCATTTCCGAAAACTGCCTTGTCTCATGCTTTCGGTGATTGCATATGTCGAAAATGGATATATAATGAATACTAAGTAATGGATTAATAATCACAACACCTTTAATATGAAGGGTTTTAAATAAAAAATACATTCATTAAAAATCTCTGCACTTAATATTAATGCACATTTACGGAGTTAGCACAAAAATAAATATTTTTCTTTTTACGGGGGGGAAAAAAAACTTTAATGTTTATATTAAATTCACCACACTACAGTGTTGTAAAAAGTATAATCACACAGCCCCCCCCAAAAAAAAACATATGCAACGCATGTAATAATCTTTTCTGTACTGCTATCAAAATGCAAACAGACGGTATGGAGGTGTACTCTCGAACTCAAACAAAGTCAAGACATTCCTAAGCGTAGAGGAAATGATGTCATCGGAAACTATATCCAGTCACAAATAGGAATTTTTCCTATGTACATGGCGCGGTACAGAATGCTTATATGTACTCCGGACGCATATATGCGCCTAGAGCAGTGAAAGGGTTAAGGAGAGGTATGTTTTCGTGGTGGACCTTCTAAAGGAGACTGGCTCGTCTAAACTTCACACATGCAGAAAACCACAAATACCAGACCTGCAGCTAGGCCATGCCTGAGTTCGACCCGTATTTAGTAATTTCTGACAACTTGGGGGTAGGGGTTGTTACCGAAATGGGATTCCAATAAGAAATGATGAAGCGATTTTTTTTTTTCAAGAGTTTGATTTTTAGATATTTAAAAATTGAATGTTGGAACAATTTTCACACTTATCTTCATTTAATGAAAAAACTTAAACCGTCACAATTTTATTTTTGCATCGTCGAATAAAGCGGAAAAAATCGTTTAAATCAAATTTATATGAAACTGGTGAAATTTTTTACTTT